GAACAGGTCTATACCTTGTTCTTTTATTAAACAAACTAAATAGCCTTGTTATTTATCTTATTTACACGACGGCATGTCATTTCTGTCTCTACGTTTCTACGAGGGCATTTCTGCCCTCTGCATCGGTCACCGTGATTTTGCCAAGACAGACATGTTCCTGGATCAACATTACTGTCCAAAAATATAGACTAAACCCAATCCCTACCCCTAAACCTAACCCTACCCATAATTTATTCCTAAAATCAGTGTGAAATGATAGCTGATTAACAAGGGTGTAGAAGCACCTAACCCTGATCGTAAGCCTAAAACAGATATTTCCTGAAAAGTTATCCCTCAATTCTGATTGGTTAATTGGAATGTTGTTCCAGGATCAACAAGGATGTTGATCCAGGAACATGTTGTAGGCTTGATGAAATCACGGTCACCTTCACTCATTAGACAACTCCACAAAGCACTACATGCGCGTCGATATGAGCACTCGTTTAAGTGGCATACACACTGGAAAATTTGACTGCATATGACATTTTTGAAATTATCGATAGTAGCTGATCAATCTCGGGGGTTGGGCTGGGTCCGCTAGGCTTACTTGTCTCCGTGTTCGTGCTGGGTCTGGTTCCGTTGCTCGTCTCTGTGCTCGTGCTAGAGCTGTTTCACTTATGTCGGTGCTCGTGCTGGGGCTGGTGTTGTGGATGCCGATTTTGGAAAGATTTTGCTAGGATGGGCATTTAAAAAAATCTGAAATTCGCTTTTGCGCCATTATCTCCTTGTATTAAAGTTAATCTTGTTCACATTCTGTATTTTTTTTCTGAAAAAAAAAAAACACAGTCAACACTTTAAGGACATTAAAGTATTTTTTCAAGAAATGTTTAATGTTTGCTGCATGGTTAAAAAAAACGCTACTTGTATAAAATTGCGTTTTGAGAGGAAAAAACATACGTCGTATTTTATTATTGCATTCAGAAATAATGTAGACTAAAATACCGGTAAATCAAAATGTTTACAAACATAAACACAGGCTATTTTATTCCCTTCCCTCCACAACAAATCCTCTAAAGTTAACAGTATTTAGGCTATATAAACGTCAAGCCAAAAACAAATTAATTTAAAGGGAAACTGAAGCCTACCTCTCTCGTTCGGCACAAATCCAAATGTTTCCATATTCGCAGCATATTTGGATGCTAAAATAATATTTATTACCTATAGGTTTACACTTAACTCGCATTATCGACGTAGCTAAATCATCATCCTTCACAACGGCTATAACAGCACAGTGAGGCGCTGGTCACTCTGAACGCAACAATGGACTATTTCAATTGAGCATTGTAACTTTTATATGTTTCTTTATGTATTTTATTTTGATAATGAACAGGCTGCGATGTCAAGGTAGCAAAAATGTTGTGTGTGCGCGTGAGGCGCCAGAGCAATCACTGCATTGTTTTTCCAACAGTTAATCGTAATTTAGTCATATACCAACGCTGGTTGGTCATACAAGCAAGACATCATTCATCACTGTAAAGCCTTGGCTCTAAGGCTCTGGGCTCTAAGATGTGCGGTACGCCACTGAGCACACTCCTACTCCCACTAGTATTAAATATTAGGCCGCAAAACGACTATTTAAATATGAATTCTGCGTGTCTGTGTTAATGAATGGCGCAGACACGCGGTTTTGTTTACTACTTGTACTGAAGCGCATGTGACGCTTCCGGTAATATTAACGTCTGCCGTCTCACTAATGAGGACATAAATACATGAACAACATCTCCAGAACTGCTCTGAGAGTCACTTCATGAGCATTGAGCAGTTGACCGTTTCATTTGAGTAAAACTATCCTCATATCATATATACACACAGAGATGTAAAGGTATTCACGGCAACCCGTCAAAATAAAAGTTCAGTTTAACTTGAATATATTGCGGCAGAAATACTGTATATTAATATTGTTCAGTAGAATTTACGTAATAGGCTACTACTACTAATAAAATTATTAAAACCTTATTTTTAAGGAATAATCATAAAATATTTCTTCAATGTTTTAATTGTAATATTAAATCCCCTTTATTTTCCAAAAATAAAATTTGTTTAATTTTCATTAATTAAAAGATCAATTAAATTAATGTTTTATGCCTTAAAAAATTTAAATACACAACACAGAATTTCTGAGGGGGAAAAAAGTATAAGGCTATTGTAAGAATAAATGAAACTTGTTTTTATGCTTTCAAATAATTAGACATGCTAAAACAGAATTTGGTAACAATAAAACATAAGGTTCGGGAAAAAATAAAACATTTCATAGGGCCCTAAACATGTAATATTTGTTAAACTTTTAATAAATTGATGTTAAATTGTTTAAGTTTCATGATTTTAATTAATTAGACATGCTTTTTGATTAATAACATTTAATTTAACCATTAAAAAGGAGTCGAGAAAAATTAAAACGAAAAAAAAAAAAAAACGTTTCCCAAGGCCATAAACCGATAGGAGAAACACTGTGTCTGGTACCAAGCTTGCATACAAGGCCTTTGTGCACTCAAAGAAGAAACAAAGCACAGGACTTAAGATAAAAGTAGCTTCTAAATCAACCATTCATCTGCCAGGAAGGATACTTCAATAACGGTACCATTTAATCAATGTTTATGTACAATCTATAAATCAAAACATCACATTTGAAACCATCCTTCATCAGAATAGCAGCACTATTTCTAGTTTGAGATCTGCAGAGCATCCATTTAGGTCAGTGAACTCAGGTGTTAATTAGCAGCTGTTATTTTCCTATTAAATGCAGCGCAAGGTAAACAGCACACAGCTTCAGGGAGAGTCCCACAGCCTTGGCAAGCCACACAACTCAGCAATTTTCTCCTTCAAGAAATCATTAGCAGAATATAGTTGGAGAGAATGCTACAACACATCAGGAGGAGAGTCTGATATTCCTCCCTTTTGTTCTGCACACATTCACGTGGTTTGTCCTGCAATAATGTTCACTGCAGCTTTTCTGATATGTCAGCATCTATTCACAAAGCTATGAAGTATCTATTCAAAGCAAATTAATTTTTAATTTATAATTCACACCAAGAGGATACACACCATTTTTTCTTTAATCCAGTAAAGTGTAATTCTGACAGGATACAATAATTTAGATTAGCATTAGGTAGCTCAAACAGCAGCACCAAAACCATTGGTTTGAACTCATAAAGTCCCACAGAAACTACAAGCAAGATCACCAAGATGATGCTACAAAAATGAACAAACGTGACAAGACCCAGCTGAGATCTGTACCAGCACCTTGTGGTGTGTGTGGGAAGGGTTTTTTTTACTACTGTTGAGGTGTTTATGAGCCTTATGCTGGGTGTATGGAGATGAATGAAGTTTACTGTAGGAGTTGAAACTATTCTGGGTTTTGTGTGCATATGTACAGTATATATCTGTGTGTGTAATTCAAGAACATGTGTGGGTTGCAACATTCAGCATATGCACCAGGGTGGCCACTATTTACAACTGAACTGAGAATGCCTTTAAAATTCCAATTAAAATCCTAAATTTGAAATGAGATAGCAAACAGAAGGCAGAATTGCAATTCAAATTTGAATTCAAGTAAAATGAAAACGTATTGAAATTTAAAGAAACTTTTATGATTTATTTAAACTAGAAAAGCATAGTTTTGAAATAAGGAAATCCCTTTTTTTTTTTTTTTGGAAGTTTCAATAGAGGAATTTGTAGGAACATAAGAAAAGGGGGGAAGAAAGGGCTTTTCTTAACCCTGCTCCTTCTCAAGTGCTGCTGACTCATACTTTGCCACTCCACTCACCTGCGTGCATATGGTAAATACAATGGTGTCCACTCCTGGTCCTCCTGGGCAGCACTGTCTTCTGGCTTTTGTTGGGCCTCTGAGCTTTTTGGTCTTTCATTGATTGATTACAGTGTTCCCTGAGCTGGGTTCCAGTGCGTAAAAAAATGACTTCGGAGGCACAGGTACAGAGGCTGATTGATAGGAAGCAGCTAAAGCCTGCTAAAATCATGGCCCAAGAGGACCAAGACTGGACACCACCGACCTTTACCAGAGATGAGATGTTCTGCTCTAGCCAGACACTAAAGCCCCTGCTCTATCTGGCCATGGCCTCTCCTGAACTGAGCAAAGCAAAACTAAACTAAATGCAGATCATGGCTGGCTGAATGGGATGGTTTAGTGCCTGGCTGGGAATTGGGGCTTTGCTGGCTCCAGGATGAAGGATGACCATCCCCTCTGCGTGTGGTGTACTCAAATGGGACTCCGTATATCTCATTGTGGGTGCTACAGCAGGCTCCAATCGGAGCCACCGTTCATACCGCTATAGATGTTCCGGTGATGAGGGGACATCTCCTCTACGCCCGGCCTCTTCTGTGCCACCTCTCGGCCGGGGCTGCCAAACTTGCCATGCTGATGCCTCAACAACTCAGGGCTCCCAGATATGACACGGCCCTTCTGTAGGTGCTCCGGTGTCCCTGATAGAATCTGTTTGGGCTCTGGACTCCCACACACACTACCCATGCTACCCCTGTGCTTCTGGAAAAGGTCCGGACTGCCAGGCGGCTGAGAGGACACCAGTTTTGAGAACTGCTCTGGGCTGCCTCTCTTGCCAAGTTTCTCTGGACTGAGACCCCGCAGGCCCTTATGGTCCGGACTGGAGAAGGACCCGCAGCGAGACCGGCACACCTGGGGAAAGGTATGTGCTGCGTACTCCTGGCTGGTGCTATGTCTTCGGCTTGTTTGCTCAAGACCCTTTGCCTCCTCCCCTGAGCCTGGCTTATGTAGGTGGTCAGGACTGCCTCCAACCGGGCCACCCAACAGCTGCTGCTTATGTGTGAGATGGTCAGGGCTGTCGGTGCTGCCCGCGCTGGAGGTACTGCTCCCGTCACCCACATCCCTTAGTAGGCCAGGCCCAGGGCCACTAGCGTGAGACAGGCTGCTCTGACTATCGATTGAACTCCTGCAGCCGGCTGGTCCCCCAGTACCCGTCGACCCGCTGGTACCTCCAGAGCCCTTCTCCTCATCCAACATGAGGCACAGCTCTCTCAGTTCAAGGTTCTCCCTCACCACTTCCTCCTGCCTCTGCTCCAGCTCTTTCAGCTTCTGCAGGTAAAGCGTCACCTCCTTACGCATGATCCCTGCGCTGTAGCGGCCCAGGCGCTGCCACTCCCTCGACACCTTTTTCCCTTTCTGCCGGTCGTCATCCAGAAAGCAGCAGAGGTCCCGCAGCTCCTGGTTGTCCTCTTGCAGCTTCTGATTCACCTCCTGGAACAATAAAATCTATGACTCAACACTTATGTCTAAGCAAAACCAGTTTGACTGATGAAAGTGAAGTTAAACAAATGCTGGCATCAGTGCTGCACAACAGAAGACAGAGTATGAACAACAGAGACAACACATATTCTAGTAGAATATTCTAGTCAAGTTTTTCAATATTAGTAGGAAAAAATTTATGAAAAAAGAAAAATATGTGTATTAACACTCATAATAACATATAGTATTTATAATATTAATGTTAATTTATATTCTAAATTAATATTTTAAATACAAATGTTAATTTATAAATTATATTTTTTATTATATTTTTTAAATGCTTCTGTGTGTGTAAACACACAGAAGCATTTAAA